AAAAAAAAAAAATAAAAATAAAGAAAGGAGAAATTGGACAGGGGGAAGGTGAACAAGCTTTAAATTCCTAATAGAACAATTTAATTCTTTTCTATTAATTTGAATAGAAAATAATTTTAATTTCAAATTATTTTGTTTACAGTTACTTGTAAAGTATCAATCTGGATAGAGCAGATCAGAATTTCAGGAAGGATGCCTAACATCACTGTCGATCACCTGCTTACTGTAAGAGCAGACATGTAAAAACTCAAGTGTGGTAACAACAGTGACCTCAAACCTTAAAATTACTAATAAAAGTGCCAGGATCATAAAAACTTCTAGGGCAGATGGCCATTGACTTTGAAATATATGGATTACATTGAAAATCTTTCTATATAACCGGCTGAACTGGGATAGTGTGGGAAGAGAACAGCAGCAGGACCTAAGAAAACAAAAGCATCTACAAGCAGCAGACTTGCTCATGTAAAATTAAGGTTTTATTTTTACTCATTTTTATATTTCATAAGAAAAATTTTTAGGAGAAAGCTGCTTAGGTCTCCTTTCAGTTCTTCCTAATGTGAAATAATAGAAAAAATTGTGGTAAATTATTTTGATACTTTTTTATTCAGGATTATTAGCAAACTGTACTTATAAGAAAGTGTCACTGTATGTAATCCAGTCCACTCACTTACGTATTAACTAGGGCTGCTTTAATTATAAAAGCATATCTAAGCACCAGTAATTCAACTTAGGGCCTGCAAGCTTAAAATATTAACTTTTGAGCTATAAAGGAAAGTTTGCTGACCTCTACAGAGAGAAAAGGAAATGAAGAGAATTTTGAAAACCTCCCCGCCTAAAAATCATTCATCACGATCCGCTGTGGTCTCCTAATGCTGGAACAAGAACCCTTGGCAAAGCAAACACAGCAAATACCAAACTCGACTGAGAAACTGATGGTTAAGAAAAGAATTCTCTAGAACTTCTTAGCATTTTAGAGGCTACAGTAGTCCTGTTTAGAATTTAACAGAAAAGAAAGTCATGCTATTTAAATCTGCTTTAGATTAAGAATCAAATGATCATTTTTTTAAAAAAATTAGTGAGACTATCTCAGTATACAGGGATTAGTATATACAGTACTAAGTGGTAAAATTAATAATAGCAAAGTAAAAGAAGAAATTACCATAAGCCTTACTTTGAAAAGTGCTTTTAATCCAAAAAATATAGAAGCACTTTACATCTTGCCTCCATTTTTTTATCACTTATTTTACTGCCTTCATTACAGGTCTGTGAGGAAAGTGTCGTCTGAGCGTAAAATGTCATCTGAGTACGAAACAGTATTTTCCCACTGCACTGTGTTCTCTCATTCCTCTACGTATCAATGGTATGATAACTTACCGAAATAGATCCAAATTACTGTATTTCTCAAACCCAGGTTTAAAGAAGGATGCGATAAATTTCCGTAAAAATGGAAGAAGATTATCACCTCGATTCTATTTTAAAAAAGAGATAGATCAAGGTTATAATGTTTATATAATTAAAAATGGTTCAACAGAAGAAAAGGGCTTTTAAACATCAATGATGAAATTAAATTTCTTGGGTAGATGGCAGAGTGGGTATAAGTTTGAGACATGTTCAAAACTATAAGTTGTCTCTGAATAAATTGCAACTAACCATTGAACAGTTTCACTGCTAACCCTAACACAGGCTCCAATTTTAACCACCGATTACTCACTGAACAGTTATCACATGCTTGGCACTGTGGTAACTTTTTTGTTCACAAGGCATTTTTAGCATATGTAAGCTTTAGCGTAGTGTATAAAGCATCTATAAATAAAGTTACAAAGCACTGTAATAAGTACAATGGTAAAACTACAAAAGAATACCTAACAAAATTTACAAAACTTACAAAGTGCAAAAGAACCTAGAAATGTCTCCCCAAAAGGCTGTTAATAAAACTGAAACAGAAGCACTATATTTAAAATATATTTTAGAGCTGGTGAGATGGCTAGGTGGTCTAGAGCACCTACTTAGAGAAAGCTTAGCAAAGCATAGGGACTGCGGTTCGATCCCACAGCAGCACATGCCAGCCGTCCCCGCCCCCTGGTGGGCTGAGCTGGCTGGCCACACACACACACACACACACACACACAAATAAATAAATTAAAAAAAATATATATATATATATATTTTATTTCTTACCTGTAAGATGAAGTATTTGCACATATGATAAAAAACCTCTGCATTCTGAGGATTTTTCTCAAATGCAGTAAGCCACACTGCTCTGGCTTTGTCCTGCTGATTAGTTTGCAAATATAAAGCAGCAAGAGCCTCCAGTATCTCGCAGTTCATAGGACATGATTTCAATAAACATTTACAAAGCTCCACGGCAGACTCATACCTTAACAAAAACAAAAAGGAAAAAACAAAGGCTAAACACATGAAAAGATCAATATTAACGGAGTGTTAGCTGCCTGTCAGTTAAGTTTTACCTCTCTAGAAGCTGGTGCAGAGCAATCATGTTGGTGTAAAGTGGAAGGCAGACCTCTACTTTTTCTTCAGTGGTCAGGTTCTCATCTGTACAAGCTTTCACAGCATCTACCCAAAAACACATGAATCCAACATAAAACGAATTGTACGACTATAATATTTTAACGTTTAGAAACCAATGGGAAAAAAGATCGATCCCTTTGTTTCCCCATCCTCTTTTTCATCTTTACTAACTCCTGACTTTTACCCACAGTATTTTAGATATCTTCAAGCTCCTCAATTTCAGTCAATTTCCCTTACTTTTCCTGGTAAGAACAGAACCATCCCACAGGAGCTCTTGCATCTATCAATGTTATTTAAATCTCTTAAAGTTCATCTCAAAAACACAATTACAGAATTAATTTTCCTCTTTCCTTGGGCACTGCAAGGTCTTTCTTTGCTATTTCATACTCATTTAAATGTCTCCCTCTACACTCGATTCTTCTTTAACTGCTTCAAACACAACTCTGCCCTACCTTACAGTACCATATTTTATTGTGACTTCCTCATTCCCCAGTAGCAGTGTGACTTCCAGGTTTACAGTTAAAATAATCATTCTAAAACGGAGCTCTTAAAGTTCACTTACAAGAATTTCTCTGTTTCCAAGATTTACATTCTTTATTTTATTCACTGACTTCACGCTAACCTCTTCCTCCCAAAAAATTATCTTACAGCTTCAGAAAAAGACTTAGTAGCTCTCAGGATCAAAAGTATTTCAGATTTTGGAATATCTGCATACATAATATGAACTGCCTTGGGGATAGGGAATAAGTTTAAACATGAAATGGATACCTCATTTGTACTTTGTGCACATGATCTGAAATATAATTCTATATAGTATTTTTAGTGTCCCTGCATTTTGACTAGGACCTCATCATATCAGGCCAGGTGTTATAATCTCCATTTGTGACACCACATTGACGTTCACAAGCTTCGGATTTCGGAAGCCTTGGTCCCTGTGTCTGCCTAAGCAGGTGCTTTAATGTGCTGAGCTATCTGGCTGGCCCTTATTTTTTTTTTTTTTTATTTATACTTTAGGATTCTCATAAATGAAATCATGTGATATTTAGGCTTGTGTGTCTGATTTATGGAATGCCAATATTATTTTGATTTGCTGTTTTCTAATGGCCAGCAATGTTGAACATCTTTTCATGTATTCATTACCCATCTGCACTGCTTGTTCTATTTATCTCACTTGCCCAATATTTTTTCTTTTTCTTTTGGAGGGGGTCTACTTTTTTCCAGTTCTTTATATACAGTATTCTAGCTGAGTCCTCTGTCTAAGGAGTAGCTGGCAAAATCTGATACCACTCTGTAGGTTATCTCTTTACTAGGTTGTTTGCGGTAGAGAAGCTTTTTAATTTGATACAATCATACTTACTGATTCGTGATGTTATCTCTTGTGTAACTGGGGCTCTATTCAGAAAGTCTTTGCTAATGCCTATTCCTCTAAGAGTTACCTATTTTACCTTCCAACAGACTATTTTAATATTTAGATCTTTGATCCATTTTTATTTTCATTTAGTACATGGTGAGATACAGGCATAAATTGAACCTTCTGCATGTGGATTAGCCAGTTTTCCCAGTATTGTTGTTACAGAGGCTATCTTTCCTCCAGACTCCTGTTTGATAAGGACTATTCCTCCACATTTTGCACAAATTCCTCTCTTCTTGTCATAAAACAACCTAGCTTTTCTAACAAAAATATCCTTTCTTTTCTTCACTGGATTATTCAATAGTCCTCTATTAAGCACTTAACGCATTCCAGAATTCATCATAGGCCTTAGGAAATACAGAGATGTGTAAGACAAGATTTCCCATCTTGGAGGGGCCCCCTATTTCACACCCTAAGTTCTATTTCAAAATCCACTCCAACTCCCAATTTTTAACGAAGTCTTCTTCCCTTTGGGATCATGGCTTATACCAAATAATTCTCTAAAGCACAGCTCTTCACTTCTTCTGCGGTACACAATTATACGACATATGAATACACAGTTACTTGGCTGTGTACCTTTGATAGGTCAATTGTACAGCTTTTATCTTCTTGGTAGGGTATATTTACAAGTCGAGTCAGTTCAAAGAATTTTAGGGTATAAAAACCAGCCTTGGGGCTGGAGAGATGGCTCAGTGGTCTAAAGCACCTACTTGGAACAAGCTTGGC